GCATGCCCGCGCACACACACACACACACACACACATAAACACACACACGATCTAATACACAGCATGGTAACTATAGTCTATAGTTAATATTATAATATGGTATTGTGTATTTAAAAGTTGCTGAGAGTAGATCTTAAGCATTCTCACCTCCCCCACAAGACAAGGGTAACTATGTTAAGTGTGAGAGTTGATGAATGTGTAAATTATCTTGGTAATCATTCTACAATGTATATGTATATTGTATTATCACATTGTACACTTTAAATATAAACAATTATACTTGTCAATTATACATTAATAAAATTATATATATAGAGAGAGAGTGAGAGAGATGGAGACTGAGAATGGGAAAAATTTTCATTGCACCTTAAATGGTAACGGTGATTTTTATTTTCTTTATGCTCATTTAAAACTTGCATAAACTTCTATAATAAAAGAAATAACAAAAAAAGGAATGTGTAAAAAGTCCTCTGTTGACTGTCGCCTCAGGGTGGTGGAGTGTGTCCCCTGAGCCGGTGCCCGAGGCCCTGGTCAGTGGTTCCTGCCACTTCTGCCGGCTCCCCCTTCCACCTTACCCTGGAGCCATGCACCATTCCTAAGTGGGTTTTGTGTGTGAGCTGCTATCTGCTGTTTCATCTGCCCAGAAGTCCTCCTTCTGCTCCTGCATCTTGTTTCCTGCCTGACTACTGTCCCCTGGGTCACCTTTCCTGGGAAGCCGTCCTGGGCCACCCAAGCAGAACTGCCATTTCTTGCTCTCACCCTACCCTGTGCGTGCACTATTTTTGTTCCTTGAACAACACTGCTGTTATGTTTACACTTGTCTCTCATGAGTCATTTGAGGATTAGGTTCTTAATCATCCTTGTTTACTCAGCATCCTGCACAGTCCTGGGTACATGTTTATGGAGTAAATGAGTAAACAAACAAATGAATCTGTCTACGGAACTCTAGGCTCACATACCTGCAGGACATCTGTGCCCAAGTGCCCCTTAAGTCTCTACACACAGCATTCCCCATACTGAGCCCAGCATCTTCTCCCTGGGGTACCTCATCTCCCCTCCCTTCTCCTCATTAGCAGCCCTCCATCTTGTGCATTCCCCATCTCGGATTGGAGCCAGACTGTGGGCATCTCTTTTTCCTCCCATAGAGATTCCCGGAGGCTATCAGTCCCACCACCTGAATGGCTCTTGCCTTATTTTCCTTTCTTTACTTGCACGCTGCTGCTCACCTCTCTCTCTCTCTCACTCTCACCTGTGGATATCTGCCACAGCCTCCTTATCCTGACCCCAATTAAAATCCCCTCAATGGCTTCTATATCCTTCAGGGTAAAGTCAAAACTCTTTACCAAGGCTTATCAGGAATCCAGTCCCAGTTCAGCCCTGTCTATCTCTCCAGCTTCATCTCTCCTCCATCCCACCCCTTTCGTCCTTTTCAGGAGCAACCTGATGAGTTCTTTCCTGCCTCTGTGCCTCTTGCGTGCTGTTTTCTTTGTCTGAAAGCCCTTTTCCAACTCTGTTGCCCCCATAACTCATTCATCAAGCCTTAATTTAAAAGACACTTCCTCCAGGAAGCCTTCCCTCACTCCCCAAGTCCCAGTTAGGCCTCTCTGATATAAACTTCCGTAGCTCTCTACACTTCCCCCAACATAACCCTTCTCATGCTGTATTTAATTGTTTGCTTCATTGTTCTTCTCTCTAAACAGACTGTACATTGAATGGGAGCAGAAACCAAGTTTGTTTGTTGATGAAGCATGTCCAGCAAAAATAAAGTTCCATTTCAATTTAATGGTTAGCATTCAATAAGCAAATAGATGAATTTTTGCTTTTGCTACTTCAGATGCAGCTTCAAACTTTGGGGCCAGACAAGATATCTAGTTCTTCATTTTCTAAAGGTCAGGAAAAGGGGAGCAGCACTGCAGCAGAGCCTTACCCAGGCCGCTGACTGACTCAGAGTGGGGTCTTTGGAGGGAAGGCTGCTGTGTGGGGCCTTTCCGGGGGTGCTTTTCATCTGATTGCCTTTCCAAGTATTCACAACCAACTTCCCCATCAGTCATGAGTTTTTCCAAGCCTTACAGGAACCTACCCTAAAGAGTAAAGGAAGTTCTCTGTATGTTCCTAAATGCTACCTTCAAAAGATTTTCAGAGTTTCCTGAGTTAAAGGCCTCAGGACTGAAACTTTGGTTGGTGTCAAGTTCCCGTGAAGATGCTACTGGGCTGGGGCTCAGGACCGCTATTTACTGCCGCCAACCCAAGTCAGGATAGAAAAAAGATGAGTGGCGTTGAGTCTGACAGGCAGTAATGCAAAGTGGGGTTTTCCAAGTCTCCAACTGGCTGAGTCAAGTTCAGAGAAGTCCAGCACCCCTGGGGAGGTTGGCAGGTAGCTGGGAAAACTAGGTTGGTATGATGGGTTGAATCCTGATCAGCACAGATTCACACCTGTCTCCCTGCCCCCTCCCCCTCAGGGCTGTGTGTGCTTCCTGCCTCATTGACTTTGGACTTGGCCATGTGATGTGTGTTGGCCACTGGAAAGCAAGCAGACATGATATGAGCGGAGGCTTTAAATACGCTTGTGTGGTTCTTTCCTGTTATGCTCCTTTCATTCACAATGAGAGGACTATGCCTCAGGGCAACACTGCTCCTTCAGCCTGGTCCCCTGAACATAAGCTTTGGACATGCTTAGTTTGATATGGCTATTAGATATCTGAGCAGAGGTGTGTATGATTTTGGGTCCAGCGGGTGGTCTGGGCTGGAAATCTACAAAGGAGTCATCAGCAGATATGTGGCATTTAAAGCTTTGAGACAGATGAGCTCACCAAGGTGTGGGTATAGATGGGAAGGAAGACCACTGAGCGAGTCTCGTTTTCTTCCAATATTTAGAGGTCAGAGAGATGAGAGAAAGAAGCATAGAAACAGAGAAGGAGCAGCCAGAAAGGTGGGCAGACAACCAGGCCAGGAAGGTGTCCTGGGAGGCAACAGGAAAGAGGACTTGCAGTTGGAGACAGTTGATCAAATGTGTCCAAAGCTGCTGATAGGTCAGTGAGATGACATGGAGAATTGACCAGTGGGTATAATGACAGGGATGTCGTCACTGTCTTTGATAAGAATGTCTTCTCTGGAGTCACGGGGGCAAAAACATCAACTGAGGGGATTCAGGAGAGAATAATAATAGAGACATTTGCAAGTATAGAAAATTTTTACGGAAAGCTTTGCTCAAAAATGAAGGAGAGAAGGGCCGGCCAAGTGGCGCATTGGTTAAGAGCTGGTTTGGGACGCCAGAGGGCCCCAGTTCGGATCCCACATATGAGGGCCAGTGACACTGCCCTCTACAGCTAAGATGCTGAACAACAGCTCAACCTGGAGCTGGGCTGCTGTGAGTCGCCTGTGACAGCATAGGCTGCAGCCCCTGTGGCAGTGGGTTGCCATGGGCTACCGTGTGTAGCCAGCAGCCAGTGTGAGCGGCCAGCAGCCCGCAGTGAGCAGCCGTCCAGAAGCCAGCGACTGATCTGCCTTACCCGGGAAGAGTGCAATGATGGTGCCAACTTGGGCCAGTGAAGCAACGTCCTCCACAACTAAACTGAAGAACAAAATGACAGCAACTTGTCAGTTCCCCTTCCCCAATTCCCCAGTGCTGTTCCCATCCTCTCAATTCCCCAATAAAAAAAAAATCTTAAAAAAAAAATGAAGGAGAGAAATAGGGCTCTTGATGAAGGGGGAAGCAGCATCAAGAGAGGATTTTTTTTTAACAATGGGATAAAAAAAATAATAAGTTTGAATGCTGATGGAAATGATCCAGTAAAGAGAAGAAACAGATCACGCAGTAGAGATGGAGGAGTGATGACAATTGGCTCATCTCTGTAACAGGAAGAAGGTTGAGTGTGCACCTTTACATGCAGGGAGGTGGGCAGATTTAGTGGTGGGAGTCGGAAGACATTCTCTTCCAGTTGCATCAACTTTCTCAGTGAAACAGGAAGCCAGGTAATCAAAGAGGGCGAGCATGTGGGAGGTGAAAAAGAGTATGACAGAGTCGTCCAGGAGGGTCCAAGAATGAATGGACTAAGGATTTGTAGCTTGCATACTGGCTAGCAGTGACTCTTTTACCACTAACAAAGCCTCACAACAGGCTTACGAAGTAGGCTTTATTATTTGTCTCATTTGCAGATGAGGAAATTCAAGCACAGAGTGGTCAAGAAACATGCTCAAAGTCACACAGTAAAAAAGTAGGAGAGCCAAAATTTGAACACAGGCAGTCTGGCTGTAGGCCTAAATACTTAATCACTAGGTTAGGGTGACCCAGTTAAGCACATAAGAGCCTGTCACAGAACTGAACTAAATGGAATGAGGGTTCAATGAACGTTTGTGGAGCAACCACTGTGTGTCAAGTTCTGCACTAGATGCCTTCACAACTCTGTGCAGTCGTGGTTATTATCAACCCCATTTTACTGCTGAGAACATTGAGGCCCAGACAGATCCAGTTGCTTTTTCAAAGCTGCAGAGCTAGGAAGTGGGACAACTGACTTTTGCACTCATGTCAGTCTGATTCCTAAGCCCACAGCCTGTACACAATGCCACAGAGGCCCCCCCCCCCCATCTACAGGGAAGTTATTAGCAAAATGCATCCGAGCTGTCTCCACCTCAGGTTGAGGTCACTTGAAACCTTGATTCTGAGCAGGTGGAGCACGTACTATGGGGTTCTTATAGCACGAACATTTTAAAAGAAGGTGACTTTGGGGAAATACTGGTTGTCTGACTGACAATTTTTGGATGCCGGATCCATCTGGTGGGGAGGACAGCTTAGAGGTATAGGGTGGGAGTCTTGGAATTGTCTTTGTTTTCCTTTTTCTTTTAATCAAAGCTATAGCCTTATATCACAAGAGCACTCGTACTGCTTACACAAGCATGTCCAAAAATGTTCTCTTAAGACAGAGGGCTCATAATGTATCATGTACACCGAACAGCCACCACTTCCTCAAATGCAAGGAAGCAGACAGTTAAAAAAAAACACACACACACAAAAAACCAAGAGGCAGCCGTTGTTTATCACGACCTCTCCTCAGTGAGGCCTGAGATTCTTTACAACAGGAGCTTCACTTCCCATGACGCAGAGCGAAGTGTCAACTGGGACATTTCTGGTAACACTGAAAGCAAGGGAAGCAGGGTGCATGCTTCACAAGGTGCCAGCCCCCAGGGGCCTGTGGGTGGGGTTCGGGTGCCATCCCCAAGTCACCGATGCATGGACCTTTCATCTGAAAGAAAGGAGGACACGGGCTGGAAAATCAACCTCAAGCTGAAGATTGCCGGTGAAGCAATCAGAACGGGGAAAACAAACACACACACCAGCTAGAGGGAGAGATCGAAAAGGCAAGAAGGGCACGAACTGTGACTGACTCACCGCTTGAGCAGCTGCTCACCCGAACCAGAAGCAAAATGTCCCTCAAGTTGCCAAGAAACTGGGATTTCAACCTGAAAGGAGAGGCTGGGAAAATAGGTATGGTCAATGTCTTTTGGTTGCCTTTGTCGTTCTACTTGAGCGCCCACCATTTGCATGTTGGTCTGCAGGGAGCATAGTCTACCTGAAAATGGATCGTGGCCAACTTGGCTTTGGGGGAACATTTGCATTCAAGCTGATCAGTTGGCTCAAATTTCCCAAACACTGGGAGGGGGGTTCTCTTTTGTTTGGAGGTAGCGGTGGAATGGACCTCCCTTGTGTGTGGGACCTGGGGTATGTTGGATGGGCTAAGGCTACCGATCACACAGAAAACTGTGAGTTTTTCTCTATGTATCATGGAAGGAACATATCTCTCCTGTTTGGCACTCATCCGTGTGTTAAGTGGTTTTTGATAGGAGCACAGAGAGTAGGTAGAGTCTTTTGAAGTGCTTGATCTGTGAAGAAACCCAAGCTGTCCCGTTTTGTGAGCCCATGGGGTCCCCAGGCCCTTTTTCTGGACTTGAGCTGAGATGGGGTTCCTTGTAGCAAAAAGTAAACAATGAGGACAAGACAGAAACATGAAAATATTTGCAGGTGTAATAAGGACAATTTTAGGGAAAGAGACAGAATGGAAGGGACTTTTTAGATAGAGGAGTTGAAAAAAAGCAGTGCATTTTAAATTAATTATCTTAACGGATCCTGGCATGTTTTCTGAGCTGTCCATACCTCTTCTTGTTAATGATGATAGTGACAGATTGATTTTAATCTGTTACATAATTGTTACCATGAGTTTCTTTATATGGGTATCTTCTACTATTAAATTAATCACAGTAATTTAGGGTAGAGCAATTGGGCCAAAAGTGATTCCCTGTGTTTTATACTTCTACTCATATGGTGAGATAACTTCCTTGATATTAGACATTGATAAGTGCTAAGGTGTTTCTAATGGCTTGAAAAAGTTTTGCTTGAAACAAAGTTTAGACTTGGGCTTCTAATGGCAGTTAATGTGCTACTAAAATAAGTGGTCCATTGCAAAGTCACAAAATGGTGTATTAATATGTAGAGCTGAGAAAGGATTTGAAAGAAAATTGAGGGTAATTAGAGATGCCATTTATCTCGGTAACCAGGGAGGATTAGCAATCTTAGTCGAGCTGGGGATCATAGCATGCTTTAGTCAGTTCAGAGAGCAGATAGTGTGTGTACCTCTCACATAAGCAAGAGATTCTTCTAATTACTGTTGACACCAATGTATTTGGCTACTGCTTGTTCTATTATACGTCATAAAAATTTGTTTTTAGAAGTATAATTTCTATGGTTCTGTTCCTTTGAAAGTGTCCCGCTCCTGTTCAGAGGGGGTCATTCTATCGTCGCACCATATGAGTTTGACAGGTCTTACTCCCCTTCTGTTTAAAAATGGGAAATGTGAGATAATTAATGGTTAAATGATTAAATGGTCAAATTTCTTGTTTTTCCCAGAGATATAGGAAATTACCACATTAGAGTTTGGGTCTGCATATTCTCAGACCTGGGATTAGGTTGGGTAAATTTCATGATTTCTACCAATATTTCTTAAATCATGGCCCTGTGGAGAACCTGTATCAGAGTCACTTCAAGTGCTTGTTCAAAATGCAAATTCCTGGGCATCACCCTGGCTTGTGAAATCAGACTCTCTGGAGGGAGGCCCAAGCGCCTGCAGTTTAACAAGCACTCACCTCCCTCCCACCTGGCGAAAAGGCCCTGCTATAAGGGCTGTGGCCTAAGTGAGTAGTCTCGGAGCGTTACCACTCCCCCAGCATTGAGCATGGTGCCTGGTCCTAGTGGGCGCACGATGAATATTTATTGTCTTAATCGATGATTGACTACAAGCAGATGATATTCTTTAGTATAATTTAATGAAAAATAACTACATAATAAAATGTAGAGGAGCCCTTGTCATTATCCATACCATTTATAAGTTTGTCATCCTGAGAGATCGGACTGCAGCCAGAATACCTCTCATGAGCGTCACATCACTGAGAATTCAGATTACGAGCTGAGTCCTTCAAGGGGAGAAAGTCACTGGCTCAGTCGTAGGGCCTCTGATCCCCTCTCCAGCACCCTGTGTCTAGAGGTGAATGTAGAAACTGGCTTAACAATATGTCAAAGAAGCTCACCCCTATTAAGAAGATGCGTGGAAGCCAATGACCTATGATTTTTCCAGCCTGGGCTAGTGAGGAGTAGATCAGGATTTCTCAACTTGGACACTGTAAATATTTTGGGCTGGAAAGTTCTTAGTGGTAGGGGCTGTCCTGTGTATTATAGGATGTTAGCAGTGGGCTGGCCTCCACCGACTAGACGATAGTAGCACCCCCTTACCACTACCAGTTGTGACAACCAAAAATGTCTCCAGGCATTGCCATATGTCTGGGGAGAGATATCTTCCCTAGTTGAGAGCCACTGGAATAGAATCACCAAAAGGGTGCGATTGTAAAGTCACTTAGGACTGGAACCCAAGTATTGCCTCATGATTCACTGTCTAGGTCACTTTTCAAGAGGCTCTGAGTAAGATAAAACTTCTGGGGGTTGGGCAGTAGCCTGGGGAGGGTGCCAGGTTCAGCACTTCCTTAGGGAAATAGCCAGAAACGAACCCGTTATGTTGGCCCAGAAAGGTGCCCCCCAGTTTTTTTAAATTTTTTTTTATTTGTGCACCCAGTTTTCCCTAAATCTTTTAAGTGCTGAGCTGGGGCCGACATGAAAGTGAAAGTCTCTGAGAGTGGGAAAAGGACTCTGTACTGTACTTCCACCTCAGAGAGCTGGGGAGGGCCCTGCTGGATGAAAGGGCTGCCCTGGAGACCACCACCAGGGGCCTGGCAGTGGTGGGAGAACACGATCCTGGCCACTGTGCATGTGCCCTATTATCCTGGGGTGGGGGGTGGGGGAGGATTTAAAAGAAAGGGAAATACAGAGCAAGCAGACTTGGCTTGAGATGGAGCCAAGAGCATACATTTCTTCCTTTGATTGTTTATCATCTTCAATTTTAGTCTAGTAATTAAAACTGGGACAGCCTTCCACTGCTTTCATCCACTGTTAGGCAAATCTTTTACTCTTTCACATATTTGTCTCTCCAACTCAATTGTGAGCTCTGAGGTCAGGTTCTAGGATGCAATATCTTTTCTTGCACTGTCCAGGGGTCAGACACATCTAGTGCTTTGCATGCAGGTGGTCTAAGGAAAAGGCATTGACCATCCAGGGAAAACCCTGTTTTGCCCTGTGGTTTGGGAGCATTTAGTTGGAAGATTGATGGGTGAATTTCAGTACCACCCCCATTGGATCCAGTCACAGATACATTATATCTTATTTTTTTCTCAGTTCCCGGAAGCCAGTATAAGGGAGAACAGGCCCTAGAGAGCATGTGACTCTGAGATATGTAATGAAAGTAACTATGGAGCGGAGGTTGTTTTAACTGTTTTCTCTTTGCAAATTAATGTTGAAAAAAAATATTCAGAAACAAAAATTCATTATTCTAGACTCCCAAGTAGTCAAGGGAATAATGACAACAGTGGAGGGTTTTTTTCCACTTAATAAATTATGATTTGTCTGATATGGAGTCTAGTTCTGTCCTTTAGAAAATCAGAGTAAAGGGAATGAAAACATTTGTTTCTTAAGACCTTTGTAAGTAGGCCAATTTATAAAACTGAAAGACTTTATGCAATGGAAGTTATTATTCATTAGAGGAAGTCATATTTGAAAGTATAGTTTTAGATAGATAAATCGATAGATACACAGAGATAGAAAGAATCAAATTAAAAAGAAGTTTTATGAATCAATACAGATGATTAAAAATGAACAAACAACATAAATGGATATCTTAAAAGATAGGAATAATGCTGCCAATAAACACAGGGAAATACTCTTAATCACAATAATTAAGAAATGTAAATTAAAAACATAATGATATACTTTTTCTCACTCACCAAATTGGCTAAAATGAAAATTCTGACAAGACTAGGGTTGTCCAGGACGTAGAGCAATAGGAATTCTCCTTCACTGAGCATGTAACCATTTTGGAAAACAATTTGGCCTTGCTTAGTGAAATGGATGATGTGCAAACCCACGAAGCAGCCGTTTCACTCCAGAGACTGTCCCCTGGAGGGGCTGTTGTGCATGTGAACTGAAAACAGATGTACGGAAGTTCCACGGTAGTATTGCTGTAATAACAGGAGACAGGAAACAGCCTAAATGCCCATCAATAATAGCATGGAAAAATAAAAATGTAGTATCTATAAAATGGAATGCTACATAAGAGCAAAAATTAATTAATTATAGCGATTCATTTAAGTGAGATTGAATAACAAAACCTTAATATTCGGCAGAAAAGGGAAGTCACAAAAGCGTGGAATGGGATTTATTTATATTAAGGTTAAAAGCTACATATATGGCAACACTATAAAGAAAAACGAGTTGACTAATATAAAATTCAGAGTGAGTGTTACTTCTGGAGGGGAAAGGAAGGGAAATACATTTGGGAAGCTTCCAATGTACCTAATGTCAGTGTTAGGTACACGAGAGTTGATTTTATTATTATATGTCAAATGAATAAAGAAATGAACATATAAAATAAACCTGCAAAACTCTGGAAAAATGTACACAATTTGTTAATAATAGTTAACTAGGGGTGAAGGATGTATGGGTAAGATATGCCCACACACATATGTGTTATTATTTTATAAGTATTTTGCAGGCTTTTTATAACGAAAAAATATTAGTTGTGTTAATAAAAATAGCCAAAGCTAAAATAAATTTCAAAGAGCTTGGCCAGGCATGTTGGCACACATCTGATAGGCAACGCAGATGTAAAACCCTCATCTGACTGCAGAGGTTGGAACAAGCGAGGACCCATACCTGGTCACCTGTAGACTTTCTGGGCTTCTGTACTCAGGATACAGGGTTTCCTTGAAAGAGCGACACAGCCCTACAGGGACCAGGGCCGCCTGCTTGAGCATATTTCTCGCTCTATCTGAACACTGGAGTGCTGGCTGTCCAGGTTGGTCTATATTCAGTTGGTCTATATTTGGCTTTGT